GCACTGTTAAAAAAAATGTAGGTAAATTCTAATTATTTTACATTTATTCTTTTAAGAGTTTGAAACCATTTTGCTTGCAAAAAGAAAGCAAACACTCGATTATTTAATATTGCAATAAGGTATTACCTTCATTCTTACTAATTATTCTTAAATTTGATAAGTTAAATTAAGCTTTATTAAACTGTCTGAACCCTTACAAGAAAAACTTATTCCGACACTTGAATTGCTGATACTTCATTTTCCAATGCAAACATTGTGAAACCACCTAAAATCTTCTTTTATGGCCGTAAAAATTTTGTAAGTATGAAGAAAATTCAAAATCAAACGGTCAACGGTCAAATGGTTCTTCAAATAAAAAATCTCAAAAAAATAACTTTCGATGGTAACCTTTTACAAAAATAATTAAAAATAATATTTTGCATCTTCAGACCATATTAATTATTTCAGTGTAGGAGCAGCAGCATCGGTGGCAGTTACCCAACTGGTGTCCAGTAATGGGCTTAGCCCAAGTAAACCCCCTCGCCAACCGAAATCGCTGCGGTTTATAATGACGTCTCGAGCAAAATAAGAATCAAGTCAAAGCCGCGACCTGCATATTGATTCGGTCGGTATGGATTAACAAACCTGACTCTCCTTCTCCACGGGCCAAGCCATAAAGCCGAGAATGCGCGAGACGTTTGCCTACTCATGACAATGCAATCCATTCTTATATAAATATTCATTTTATTTCATAGATCTGCGGGCCACAGGTGCCTGCTTATAAGCCAAGACCAGTAGTCACAAAGATCAAATCAATTTGTTGTGGACCTTGATGGTTAAAAGAGTTAATCTTTTAACTCTTGTAAATAGGCAATCACTGGTGGACTTCGATATATGATTCCATCAAACCAAAGTCGATTAGGCATAAGCAAAAACTTTGAATGGCTTTCCCTAAAATAACATTATACTGGTATTTTAGAACAGGTGAATATATAACTAAACAAGAAAGGAAGCAAACTTCGGCTTGCAGCTGTTATTAAAATTCTATACATCGATTTCGATGCTTAAAAAAAATGAAGCTAAATTTGGTAGTCTGAATTTTATAAAAGCAAATCCGAAATTCTACATTTGTTAAAAATAACTATATCTATGACTTTTTGCAAGGTTTCATTCAAATAGCTTTAAAACTGAGGGACTCGCTGGTGATGCTGTCAAAGAATATATATACTTTTTACGTTTTGACTGAAATTTGATTTATTTTTGCAGGGGTTTAAAAGAGTCAATAGAAGGGAGAATTTATTCATTCCTTAACAACTTTTTAAAAACTCTCTTTGATTTCCGAATATTTTTGGTTAAGATACAAAACGCTTTTAAAAAAAAATTGACTTTGAGTAAACCAACTTTATTTCTGAAGTCTTTTAATATTGAAATCAATTCTTAACTTTTTACTGATCTGTATTATAACATCTGCTATTCCAACTTATTGGTATTTTATTTTTTTTCAATTCTATGTTGACTCTAAATTATTAAAAGCTTAAAATTTGCATACAATTATCTTAAATTAAAATGGAGAAATGGAAGCAAAAGCATTTAAGGCGTTGCAAGAGTCAAATATAGATTAGGTTTGACAGCAAAGAATGGAAATTTCAAGGCTGTTTTAAAATATTTAAACAAGGTTTGTTCCCCAGAAAGGCACAATTATATTATTTGAACATATTGTGTAGATGTTATTTGAACATGTTGTCTAAAAATAATTTTATTTTGCTTGCAAATATATAATTAAATATTATATAGTATGCTTCATAAGATGACGAAAAGCTTTTATTGACTTAGCTTGGCCCACATCCACCATCCAATTCTCTTTGAAAAGTTTACAAATCTCTTTGAACTAACACAGCTCTTTTGTCTAGCTCTTAGCTCCAAAGCCGCAGGCCAAAAAAAGAAGAAAATCAGGCAAAAAGCAGAAACCAATTTAATTTGTTTGTTTTACTAATCAGCGGCACGTACTCGCACGTTTTTTGCGTCAAAGTCTTTAGTGCGGTCTATAGCTGAATTCTGTTCGTAGTCGTGGCCAATATCGGTGCTCTTGTTGTTGCCAATTCTGCTATTGGACGGCCTGGCCAGGTCGGGTGTAGTGTCTGCCGTTTGGTTAAACAGCCCACGTTTAAGCATGGCTCAGAGCGTGCTAATCAAGTGGCTCCGAAAACAAAATTACGCGACCGACTGAGCAAAAGCTAGCTTCGGCTTTGTCTCGTTTTTCATATATTTCTGATGCCCTTGCTAAAGGCTAAATAATGTTGGTTAGAAGTTAGTAACGCTGATATCTTCTAAACAAATAGATAGATAGTAATTTACCATCCAGAATATTTTTTAAAACGGTTTGACTGCCCAGATTTAAAATAAAACCATTGCGACGTAGTATTTGTTTTTATTGTTAGCAAATAATCAGATTCCAGAAATAATTGAGTACATTTCCAAATAAATATCTATGTTGACAATATTCGAAATTCATTTTTTTAATTTTATAAATTCAAACCAGTGCTGGAACAAAAGGTATTTACATATAAGATAATTTTCGTAAAGGGTATTTAAACATAAGCTTGCAAATGTTTTATTGCTTCCTCTTTTTTTTGATTGACTTTGGTTTTTATAATATTTGGTCGCGTTGCGTTGAAGTTGGTTTTGGTTTTGGTATCCACCGGAGCTTGGGGTTTGGGATTTGGGGCTAGGGCTGGTCTGTCGCATGGGTACGCTTTGATGGCTTCTAGGTGAAGGTCATTGTGTGACTGAAATGTTAATTTGACTGCCTGTCATACTTTTATGGCGGAGTGCCTGGGCCATTTCAGTTTTATTTTTTATGACACTTTGCTAGGGTTCTACTTACGTAGAAGCACACACAGCTCGGTATTTATGTGGGCTGAGAAACCACTGTCCAACAAACAAACTCGAGTTTGATTTTTTGCGGCTCTGGACTGCAAAGATTTTTAAGCTCCCAAAGCAGTTTATTCCAAATCTATGTATTTTAATTAAAAGTCATTACATAGCTTATCAGCAAGAACTTGCTCAAATTTAACAAGAAAGGAAGCAAGCTGAAGTTTATTTACCCTTCCAGTTATTTCAAAACTGACTACCTTTCGACTTATATGCCTATATTACTAAAAAGAATGAAGATATGTCGATTTTTCGCTGCATTTCGCATTTTGATAATTCTAAAAGCGTAATTCTGATATAGTAAATAATTACTATATATCGAAGAAATATTTTTATAAACAAAAAAACAGCAAAATAACATTAAAAAATTTTTTTTGTTTTATTTTTTGCTTTTCCTATGGGAGCTTTATAATATAGATGTCCGATTTTAATTTAATTAAAACCGTAATTTCATAGTAAATAAATATTACCAAGTCCCAAAGAACAAAAGAAAAATATAATATTATAATTATTATAAATTCTGAATTGTCCCCATCAATGTGTTTTGCAAGTCTCTGGCTTAAATTATTATTAATTTCAATTAGTTTAAAAATGATTGTTTATATCTGAAAATATAATATTTAATAACTCTGTGATATAAATCTTTAAGATATTAATATTTTATTAATGAAATAGAAAGTGCGCAAAATGATTTGAAAATCTGGGGAAGAGATCTCTGTAAAAGTCAACGTTGATTTCCATTTCGCATGAAGATGATGTAAATGTGCGACATATTCGCAGACAAGTCCGCGTGGGTGGGTGCTTTTACCGAGGATAATGAGCTGCAGCCACCCAAATAGAGTCTGGAGGCCCACCTAATGGTCTTGTTCGCATGGCGGTTAGGAGGTTGAATGCTGCAACTTCAGCAGCGATTCAGCACCGTTTTGCTGATGCGGCACACTCCAAAGCCATAAAAGGGCATTAGCCTCGTGAGTAGATTGCATGTTTTCAGCAGGGGTTTTCGGACGGGGAGGCGAGTGGAAAGCGCGCGCATTGGAAAATTGAATAAAGTACCGGAGGACCCAAAGGGGGATTGGGGCAACGAGGCAGAGGAAAGTGCTCGATGTTCGTAGTCAAGTCATTTAAGGGTTGCCGGCAGCATCCAACGTCGGTGTTTGTTTATTTTTTGTAATGCCTATCTACTAGGGAGTTGCGAATGGAAAGTCTTCGATGTCTTGGAATTAATTTTATCGTTTTAGAACAAAAATGATAAATTTGTCTAAATTCTGATTGTAAGTTCAATAAACATTTCTCACTCCTGTTTATAATATTAGTTCCCAATTAAAGTTATTGAATAAACTCGAAGTCAAAAATTTGTTATATTTTAATTTCCTCTATAACACAACGCTTACTTCGACTTAACTCACTGGGGAGTTAATCCGAAAATGATATCAAAAGGTCAAACAAAACCAACACTCAAAAGAAATACTGATCTGAAAAAAATAAAAGAAGTTTAACAAGTAAACATTAGACAATAAATTGTTTATTATTGTGAAATTTGGCAAGCTTGTTATAAATAAAAATCTTTTTACAATATTAATATTTGTTTTTAATAATATTTGTATTATAGCAAATTAATATATTAATAACAGTAAAGTCTTTCTTTTATTAAAACATAGTCATTAAAATATGCATTAAAATCAATAATTAGCCATTAATAAATTAATTTTAAAGCTTCGTGAGATTAAAAGCATATGAAGTTTAATTTTCCTACTTACAATTAAAGATTGCATACAATTACTACCCACACTATGGATATATTGATAATTAAGAATTAATCATAAACCCATTGGCTTGACTGTAGAACTGCAAGTGACTACGGGTCGTATGCGCTATGCTTGTTTCAACTTGGCCTGTGATGACTCAGTTTGAGCGTGGAATATTGCGCTGCCCAACGCATAAATCTGAATGAGGAAATCCAAGCAACATGCAACTTGGGCTTTGCCCAGACTGGATTTTCCAGAATTCAACTGAACTAGCATCTATCTATCTATACCCAAGCCGTATAAAAACGAAAGAAATTGTAACTAGAAATGCAGTTGCCAGCAGATTATTGAACAGCATGAAGAGCCACATTATTCCATTACTGCTCCTACTTGGAATCTTTTGTGCGGTGCTAATTGCTGCCCATCCGCACGACACTCCTGTATTTCCAGAGGAGTCTAGCTATGATATCCTGGAGGAATCTGGCAGTGGGTACAAGAGCGCCGAAGAATTCATGAACGCAATGGACGATCTGGTCAGACGATGGCAGGAGTACGACACAGCTGAAAATTCAACTGACTACTACGATGGTGATTACGATGAGACGACTTTAAATTCGATCGATTTGTTACCAAGCCTGTAACTTAATTGTGAATTATTAATATTATTTAATAATTTAATAACTGTCTGAAATATTAATTTATCCCTTCCTATTGTTTGTAAATAAACTAATACTTAAAATTACAATAAAGAGTACCTTTTTTAATCAGCCTAAGCTTTTTGTAATAGAAAGAAACAGAAGGAAACGAAAAAGCAAAAATCAAAAATTTTGTATATTCTAAAAATTTAATTTTTTCTAAATATATTACTTGGAGGATAGACTGTGAAAGTTAAAGGTAAACCCTTAGTTTTAGCAGTTGACCTAAGCGCAATTATTTTTAATTTATACTCGTTTCATTCCAAGAAGCATCAGTTAAAATTTGTGCGTTAATTAATTTTTACCGATGTCAAATTTAATAAAATTATGTATAATGTTTTCGCTTTTGTCCTAGTTTTTTTTTGTAAATTTCTTTAAAACAACGAATATGATCGCAAATGACCCGATCCATGACGCTTTAAAATATATAATTAAAGACGAAATCTTTTATTGCAATACACTATGTTTACATCAAACAGGTCAAAAATGCGTCCCTCCGCGTTAACTGCATTTCCATTCAACCAAACAGTTTTAAGAAAAGTAAGGAACATTTGTAATATCTTACATCCAAAGATATGTCAACCAAATTGACATAAAGTAAGACAAAATCAATGTGCCAGCATGACAATTAAAATTCATTCGCATATACAAATTCCCCCAAGAACCATAAGCAAGATCAATATTGTTCAGCATCCGAACAATATACTAATATACTTTGAACCAGAACCTCACCTTTAATATCAATTTTGATTGTGGTAAACAGACACCATGTACTGTAAACGTGAGTTGGAATTTCCCGCACTCACCTTAATCAATATGTAATTCCTGTATATTAAATACCAATCATTGAGAACTGCTGATAACCCAAGCGATGGCTATAAAAGCGAAGCTCGGATGCCGACTGACATTCAGTCAACTGCAGCTAGAGCTAGTCGAAAGAAAATGAAAACCACTATCCGGCTTTTGCTGCTCTGTGGATTAATCTATTCCGCGATCGCTGCATCCGATGTATTCCAGAATATAAATATAGGACCAGGTGACTTTGGCTGGAGCGATAGTGTTCACAATTCTGATGTCGATAAGCTACTGAAGCGACTGGAGAAGTTGGACAACAGTGACAATAATAGAAACAATTGGGGAAACGATGACGAGAGAAACTCTGGTTTCGATACTGATAGATTTAGAGATTCAGATGAGGACGCTCGCGCATCCCAAATAATTAACTTTGGTTAAGTTTTCGACTCAAACATGGATGTGATTTTGAAATACTCAAACATTGTACAAAACTAATCAAGGCACAAACAATTAATATTCATGAAAAAATAAAAAAATTTTAATTGATAACTCAATCTAAATAAATAAAATAAAAATATTTGTTTTATTTAGTTTATCATTTTAATCTATTCGGTAAGATATTGTTTACTGAAGAGTATAGCCATATAAGTTAATTAAAAACCTAAGCCATTATATTCAGATAAACTGGCAACATTTAGAAAATAAAACATTTACTTTCCATTTAACATAACGCTTAACTGTAATAGAGCAGTTTATGCTAACTAGATGAATAATAAATTGAAAAACTAACACAATTTTGAGCTTAGAATAAAATATAAATTAGCATATTTATGTTATTTTATGTGGCCAGCGAGACGTCAAAACATAAGTCTATGCTAATAGCCGAAGTTCAGATATCAGCTTTAACTAGTTATTATATAACTAAATGAAGGTTATCGAGGGAAATTAAATCGGTTTCCGCATCATGAATAGATTTTATTAAACCTAATCAGCAGGGAAATAGTACAAACTGAAAAGCTTAAAATTGTTTATAATTAGTTTTGAACAGACAAAAACACAGACATTATTTTGTGCGGTTTCTTCAAAATTAAATAGAGAACAGGAAAATAATTATTTCTAAATTTACGATAAATGGGATTTTCTATTCTGAAACGAAATCTGTTTCTGCACAATCAATGAAAAACAAACATTGAACTGAACAATAAATTATTTCAATTGAAATGCCATTACTATGCAAATTTTCTTGCCACACACGAATCTATACGTATAATTAAACAATTCTACGTTTGGATTTTCACTTAAATAAAATTGATTGCCTTTGCTAATTATTTGTCCATTCACAAAACTAAAAGCGAATCGAGAGTGTAAGTAATGCCACTATTGTGAATTGTTGCTACAGGACAAGCAGCAGGTTTTTATACGCTTACAGAGCCCTGAGCCTAGATTGCTTTGGGCACATTTGAGCCCCTTTCAGTATAGAAAACTTTAGCTCAAGACAATAAACTGAAACGCGAATATAAATAATAAGAAACAAGCAAAAAATGCAGTAATAACATTTATTTCGCCAATCGTCCAGGATTTTGGAAAAAAATTTAATTTTAAATTAATTAATTAAATTAAACCTTAAAAAAATCGTTAAAAATCGACATCGCTTCGTCGACATAAATATGTTTTTTTTTTATTTTACAAAAACAAGGCGACCATGTCATATATCTGGAATACAAAGAATCAGTCAATTACATCCTTTTTTTAATTAAAGTAAAATGTAGATTTTTGTCAATTGAGTTGTTGTAGCCAAATTTGGAAATAAACTACTATATAGATTGCTGTGATGGATCACTAAACACAAACCCTTTATTAATTTCGATATGTATAGCTATTTCGCAAGGGAAAATAAACTTTGCCTTAGCGAAGCTTCCTATTTTATTGTTGATTTCAAATTTCAATAACAGTTTTTCAAATTTCAGAAACAGTCTTTATAATTGGTCACTTTCTCTCTATTTAATTATGATTTTAAATTAAAATAAATTAAATTTATAGAAGTAAATAAAAAGCCGAAATAAAATAAATTACCGAAATCATGAAAACATGAAAGGATGTAAATAATTACGTAAAGTAATTGGAAAAGTATGTTAGCTGCCGACAATGAACACTTGCTCAGTGTCACATAACAATTGTCCTTTGAGTTGGATTTGAAACCGCGATTACGCATACGCAACGTGGCCAAAGCAACATTGTCTCCATTTCCTGCGGCAGAAGAGAAACAAGAATGAGAAACGGGGTCTGAATAAGATAAGCCAGCCAGTCAAGGAGAAGTTATGTGTCGGTAAAAGGGCGAAATTGACAGAAATGAGCGCTAAACACTCGAAATATGAACTGAAGACACAGACAGCGGCAATCTTAAAGTAACCCCGACACTCACAGACACTAGAAGTTAAAGCTTTCTCGGAATCGGAATGTGATTCGGTTTCCACTTGCAATTCAGCAGCATCAGCAGAGCTTTTTACGCATCCAACTGATTAAATTTATTTATTATGTCACTGTGTGTCTGTGTGACGGTGGATGGATGATGTCGCCTCCTCTAAGAGCTCAATTTATGGTCTGTCCTAGCTCTTAAGTCCCTTAATGGCAGAGCAATCGTTGGCTTAAGTCTCCCTTCAGTTTCATATCCCCCCGTTTACTTATCGATGGAGGGTAAATTGAATTTGGACTGCTGCTTATCGGCCCTTTGTCTACTTCCTTATCGAGTATCCCAAATCTCTGCAAATGATATGGGATATAGTGGCTCTTGTGCCAAATAGTTCGCTGATAAAAAAAGTAAAACCAAGAAAAGCAGCAAAACCGATGAACGTGCCTTGGATAAAGTGTTCGGTGCAGATGATTTATAAATAAAATAACAAAGTTCCCTTCGTATTCGGATTGTTCTTTGGATGGCTCTTTAAAGTCTCGCATTTGTGCTTTTTGTAATACAGAATAAGTGATTACAAATTGATTAAGTGCTTTAAAAGTTCAGTCTCGAAGGAGATTGGTGGATTCAATTCTTCGAATTCGAATGGCATTAACCCCCTGGAAGGGGGATTCTGCCATCGATTGCTGGCCACAATTAATTACCACATTCGAGCAAAACAAATTCTGCATTTACCTGTTTTTCCTCTTTTGCATTCGCCCAGACAATTAACAGGCAGCCTGCCGATTGTTGTTGCCCCTCTGCGTTTAACAAATGCAAAAATAATTATAATTAATGCAGAGTTTTTGGCCTTGAACTTGCATAACCTGCTGTAGCTGTCTCTCTCTTCGGCGTAATTACTTTGTCGCTTGTGGTTCTGCTTTTTGGACAGGCCAACAAAATCGTCATCGGCATTGTCATGACCAGTTCGTGGGTGAGTCCCACCAAACAAATTTCGCATTCATATTTGCTTAGCCGCAGAGCCGCACAAAAAACGTTGCTTAGCATTTAAATATTTTCAGCTCCGCTGAGCAGCGCAATGCAACTGCAAAAAAGCGCCAACCAAGAGGGGCAATAGATAGGAAAATTCAAATTCAAATAGCCAGCTCTATTCACTCTGTCCCTCGCCATCTGCCCTGCTGTCTGGCCAAGTTCAAGGTAAACATTTGCCTCGAAACTTGGCAAATTTCTGTGGAAACATCCACTGAGCCATATACGATCCACCGGTTATTACTCACCTTTGACAAGGCCCCAAACGATCGCGAATATTAGCCTGACTCAGAAAAACGAGGCGGGGAAAGGGGCGGCAGATCAGTCAAGTGCAGCCAGCTCAGCTCATCCGAGAACGGGGACGCCACGGGGATGGCGGGGGGTGCAGTCACTCAGCTCGCTAATTAATAACCCAGTCGGCACTAAATCATACTACATATAGGGGATGAAAGATCGGAGATCGGGGAAGAGTCGGTGGTTAGGTGAAGCAGTTAATTGGGAACCGTTACCAAATAGCAAATACTGGCTCATAATCCACCGAGTTAAATACTTTCACGGAATAAATAAATTGCCTAAGGTTAAGGTAGGCGGATAATATAATTATAGGAAAACAATGTAGGATGTTTCTTTAACATCTTTCCTTAACTGAATGGCAAGAGTGCTATTAATGAGTTGTAAACTGGATCAAGAATAACTATTGAGAACCTAAACTCATATTCACTACCAAAAATATGGAAACCCATACAGCGATCGGATTATTTTGCCATATTTTATATGGGAAATGGACAGGTAAAAAATTCAGTACAAAAATGATTCGGAATAATTTTATTTAAGAATACTCTTAATTGGATGTAAATAGGTTATAGCTTTTTGGGTAAGTCCAACTCTATCATCTTGGTTAATTATCTGTCACTAATAGCTTTAGGGGGTATGGGTAATATATATGGGCAATAGATAAGGCAATTTAGGGCGGCATCTTGAAAACTAATCTCGTAACTAATCACAAAATCATCTGAATTGAAAAAATCAAATGTCATTATTTATTAAATACATTTCCCCAGGTAACGCTTTCGAGTTTTTATTTTTTTCCCGATTTTTAAAGGCACTTAAAAATTTAGTAAAGAAGTACTGTGCAAAATTGTAAAACGATTCGTCCAGTAGATTTTGCAGGATCGTGGCCACCGACTTTGAAAATAACAACTTTTCAGGAGGGTTTTTATACCCTTGCAGAGGGTATTATAATTTCAGTCAAAAGTTTGCAACGCAGTGAAGGAGACATTTCCGACCCTATAAAGTATATATATTCTTGATCAGCATCACCAGGAGAGTCGATCTAGCCATGTCCGTCTGTCCGTCTGTCCGTCTGTCCGTCCGTTTCTACGCAAACTAGTCCCTCAGTTTTAAAGCTATCTGCTTGAAACTTTCCCAAAAGTTGTCTTTCTATTGCAGGTAGTATATAAGTCGGAACGAGCCGGATCGGGCCACTATATCATATAGCTGCCATAAAACTGAACGATCGGAAATGCCATATCTTTGGTGTTTTTAAAGTTAGGAAGTTGGGATTTTCTATGGGTTTTATTTTTGGCTAATAAATCCGACCTCCCAAATTTCATAAGGATCGGACGACTATATCCTATAGCTGCCATATAACTGATTGATCGGAAATGCCATAACATTGGTGTTTGTAAAGTTAGGAGGCTGGGATCTTCTATGGATTTTATATTTGGTTAATCAATCCGACCTACCAAATTTCATAAGGATCGGCCGACTATATCTTATAGCTGCCATATAACTGATTGATCGGAAATGCCATAACATTGGTGTTTGTAAAGTTAGGAGGCTGGGATCTTCTATGGATTTTATATTTGGTTAATCAATCCGACCTACCAAATTTCATAAGGATCGGCCGACTATATCTTATAGCTGCCATATAACTGAACGATTGGAAATGACATAACTTTGTTGTTTTTAAAGTTAGGAAGTTGGGACTTTTTTTAAGTATTAAGAATGCATCATATGAATAATTTTGGAGAATATAATTTATAGAATATTCTGCAAGGGTATATCAACTTCGGCTCCGCCCGAAGTTAGCTTTCCTTTCTTGTTTAAAGTACAAAACGACCTCACACCTGCGTTAAAATCCCCATAGCTTTGGAAGTTTTAATCGGATCAATCTAAAATACAAAAAAAATTATAATATCAAACACAATAGTCTTCAAAAAAAGAAAAAATTAAAAAAACAAATTTTAAATACTTAACATATTCCTAATAAATGTATAAAGGGGGAAAAAGGCTCAAAAATTGGGTCTTGCGTTTAATTGAAAAAAGCGAACAGTTCTAACTCCTTCCATCCGAAGCACCACTGACCCACTTCCCTTATGAATGCGGCGCCTTCTTCTCTCGGGGGCAAAAAGTCAACGCCTCTGCCCCTTGTATTCCTCCATTAGCATCTCATATTTGCCTCGCCAGTTCTTATGCAACAGTGGCAGATGCAGTTCGCGTTCTTTCAGCTTGCTCTCGGTTTCTCGGTTCTGTGTTCTTTGCTGGCTGAAATTTTATTGCTAAATTAAGTAATTGGTACAAGAAGCCGACTCCGCAGCCCTCCCATCGACTGTCCGGCACTCGCTTTGGATTCTGCAATCTAAATGCTTTGCCGTCTGCGCTTGTGTTTGCCTTTGTGCGGGCATCTGTGTCTGAGTATCTGTATCTGAGTATCTGTATCTATTAGACCGCTGGCGGCCTCGCTGCATCTGCATCTGCATCTGGGCATCGCGAGGCGGCACACAATGAGGAGCGTGCTCTGTGCTCTTCTTTGGTATTCCACTTCTGCTTTCCATTGCGAATGTGTATTGCAGATGCAGTCGGATGGGGGGCAACAGGGCGCATGTTGAATGCGGGCCGAGGCAAAAACCAAAATAATGCAAATATACAAAAAGAAAATGAAGTCAAAGAGGCCAGGCCAAAGCAAGCACTCAACATGCGAGTGTGGGTTGCGCAATTTTGCAGATACTACAGAGCAAACGGTCTCGCTTCTGCTACTTGCATTCTGAAGATTCTTTAGCGGCATCGTTCTTATTATATCCCCCTCCAGAGCGAAATTCAAAGAAAACTGAACCGAAACTTTTTATGGCATCCAAATGGCCAGACGTAAAATGGCATTACGAATTAATAAATAAAGAAATCCGGGAACGGGGGGCGAGGGGCGATGCCATAAAATGAAGCACGCAAAGCAGATGAACTGAAATTTCAAGGTCGCTGGCAAAAGAACTTTTTGTTAGCGTGTTTATGAAGATTTTTGAATTTACTTTTTGCTGCTGCTGCTTATTTTTCGGTTCTCCCCGGGTTGTTTAAAGAAGAATTAGTCGACGGATCGGCGGCAGGCGCTTGGAAACTGGAATCTCGAGAACCGAGTTGAGCTGAGAGAGTTGGGGAAACGGAGTCACAGGTAATGCGACAAATGAATGGAAAAAGCACCGCCGAAAAAAGTTTAATTTCGGTGCTAATTAAAGACGCCGAATCGAAGCCAGCTCAGAATGCTGTATATACTGTGCACATTTGGCCAGCTGAATTTATGTGCACGGCTTTCTTTGAATTGCGCAGTAACCAAGATTCCGAGGCTCGAGGGGATCGGTTCTGGAATTGGGTTCGGCGCTTTGGTGCTGGACACACTGGCCTTGACCCCAATGATATCAGAAAGCAATGAGCACCCGCTCCTTGTGCGAGTTCTATAAAAAGCACAAACGAAACATCAGTTAAGACTAATTGAGTTTGGCTAAAATTGGTCAAAATGCGCAGCAAGCAGCCAAGACTCCATGGCACAGACCAACTCAAGTCAATCGAATTCAAACCAATCCAGTCGCAGTCGAGATTCGCCTCAACGAATCCATCAACGACAAGCAGCTTGCGACGATGACTGCTGCAAAAAGTCACCTCTGGCACCTATGTATATCTACCTGCCGTATGACATCACCGCCGGCAACGACAATTACTCGGAATACAAATAAAGAATTGCGACCCCAACTTGGTCGCAGGCTATCCTCAAAAACTGGCAACTGCAGCGTGGAGCATGACAAGGCACCAAATGGCAGCAGAATGAGCTCGAAATCAGAGAGCCACGCCAAACAAACAGACTCAGACAATCGTTGAATCGGATTCGTTGTCCAAGAGGCGGTTTTAGAGCCAAGTCGATCGATGCTGCAGGGGCGCCATAAATGGCTAAGGCTTTGCGCCGATTACTCATACGCCATGTGGCCGGTGAAACGAATTGATTCCATCTGCCTGCACTTTGCGGGCAGTGTTAAGATAAGTAACCCTCTCAATCACATTTAGTCACGAATGCATTAGGACACTAATCAAGTCCTATTTATTTAAATATTTAAATTTTTAGGAATATGTCACTGGAACTATTACAATTCCAATTTAGTGACAATCGCTAAATGTGGTTTCCTATTGTTTTGGGCTTGACAATAATCCATCTATCACTCTTGAATAAAACCAATAAAGCTTCTGTGAATTGAGTTTTTACCACTTCACAAGCCCGAGGGGACTGCGCGGTTCGTCATAGAAACACTCTGTGATTAATGACCAAACTTGTCTGCTCTACGTTCACTTAATTGGTTAATTAATTTGTGTAAATTTTTGTAAATATTTAGTCGTTTAAATGACGCACTCCTCCGCCCTTCAACTCGTTTCCCCTCCGAAGAGAGGTTTGTGCCCCATATAGTTATAACAACCCGTAATTAGGCTTTCAAAGTTTTGTGGCCTTTTGTTTGACTCTTTTTTGTGTTTTCTGCTTGTTAACTTTGTTTTGTTTGAGATCATTTTCGGGGTCCACCCCTCAAACCCTCGCCCCCCGCCTTCCCCCACCCGCTCTTTCTCTGAGTGGCGGCACTCAAGTGGCAATTAGTGTTGACATTCATTAGCTGTGATTAAAATGAGATCAGATTGTGGCCGACGATGACGAGCAGCACGTGAGGGGAGGGCTGGCCGACGTGCCACGCCCCTCGCATAGGCGTGTGATTCACACGCAGAGTTTTGCGAAGTGAACTCATACCCTTATTTAAATACTCAATTAATTTTAATGAGCTAAACTAAACATAAAGGGCTGCATTTCGATATCTCAAAAATACACTTATTAGTAAGTTAAGTAAAATAATTTCCTTCGGGAAAAGGGAAACTCGATTTAGAACGATAGGGACCTGATCTATATTTTGATATATTATTTTTAAGTCTTACAAATGAAAATGTAATTGGGTAGCATTATTTTAATGATCCTAAAACACCTTGAAATTAATGGGTTAAGCTGTAGCATTTGCTGAAGTAGCTGCAGTAAGTGAATTGGGACGAAGTTGAGTTTGCCAATTAAAATGACAGCAATTTGGCTAAAGACAGCAAAGCAATGCCCAAGAGTCCGTCGAAATTAAGTCGCAATTCCCTGGAAAGATTTGTTCGGCGGCACAGTAGATAAATGGATAGAGATGCACATGCAGATGCAGATACAGCTGCTCTAGTCGGATCATCTCCCCTCTTTGTCGGATTATTTGCGGACTGAATTGGAATCCGCATCTGCAAATCACATTCGCAGTAAAAAGCACGAGTGGAATACCAAGGAATGGAAAGCAATAGAAGAGCACAGAGCACGCTTCTCATTGTGCGATCCCCAGATACAGATGCGCGGCTGCCAGAGGTCTGATAGATACAGATACTCAGATACATGCAGCTGAACATTTAGACTGCAGAATCCAAAGCGAATGCTGGACAGTCGAAGGAAGGGTCTGTGGAGGCATTTTTTGTACCAATTACTTAATTTAGCAATAAAATTGCAGCCAGAAAAGAGCACAGGGCCGAGAGCGAACTGCATCTGCAAATGTTGCATAAGAACTGGCGAGGCAAATATGAGATGATAATGGAGGAAAAAGAGGGGCAAGCGGCGTTGACTCTTTGCCCCCGAGAGAAGAAGGCGCCTCATTCATGAGGCAAGTGGGTCAGTGGTGCATTGAATAGCAGGCGGGTACTTAGAACTTTGGTGTGCTTGTCAACGGTTCTCAAATGCAGTTATTAGTTATTTTTCTATTGGCGTTAACCGAAAATATCTATTAACTGAATCACCTTACTACTTACTCTCCCCCTGAAACGTCAGCTGAGTTGGACGCATTATTAATTAGCAAGCTGGCAGCGAGTGAGTGAGTTCTCCTTAAACCCCGTGGGCGATCTCAGTTGTTCTGAATTGGCTGCACACTTTTCACTCTGAGTCAGGCTTATATTCTAAAAGAGAATTTCACGAGTCTCGGGCTTATTTCTTGTCAAAGGTGAGCATGTTTTTGGCATGAGTAATACGAAATCGTTTTTCGGCGACCCTGAACCTAAACTCAGTTAACTCAACCTGGTTACTGCATATGATGTATTACAATGTATATTCGCTTTATTATGAAACGGAGTACAAGAGGGTAGTCAAGCAAATCTCTATGTTAAAGAGATCCCCTTCTAGAGCCGGATTTCCTCACACTTGCATGGATGCTCGCCCACACGATCGCCGCCTGTTTCCAGGATCAGTCTTCTCATGGCGTTCAGAGACTTGTTAATGGCTTTACCATACTTAAAGGGGCTTATTTGTGGGCAAGTTTTCCAGGCGGAAATGGCGAAGATTATCTTATCTTCTTGTGGATTGTAGCAGCACCCGTATCCGTCGGACAACAGAGGTCCGTAGGCCATGAAGCCCCCGCTGGATGTGGCCACTTGTGAGGTGAAGAGCTGAAAGGTAACGGATCGCACAAAACCCGTCGACTGAAAGAAGTCGGGCAGTGGAAGGCCGTTCTCCAAGGCCATTTGTTGCAGTCCAAAGAGGTGGCGATCGATGCCCTGTCCTTTGATGGCCTCCTTGGTCAACTTCTCGTGGGCATCCACAGCCTTGTGGAGGGTCGCCAACTTCTCGTTCCTCGTGGCCGTCTCCGATTGCATGGCCAGGACGAAGGCCTTCGATTCGTTGGAGGTGGATCGTATGGCCTCGGTGCGTCCCTCGTAGAAAATCCTTAGGTGAGCGGACTCGTACTGCGCGGCAATTTTCTTGTGGAGGGAGTAGAAGGCCAGACTAAGAGCCATCTGTATGTAGCTGTCCACGTTTAGACCCTGCGCCTTGATGAAGCACTTGCCATGGCACTCGAACTGGAACACATTCATCTGCAGCTGGCTGACGATCTTGTGGATATTCCGCATTGCCTGACACATCCACAGGTTGATGCACTCGTTCATGGGTTGAAATTTTAGGAGGGTGGACGTAACCTCCTTTTGCGAATCACAGCCATCGCAACCATAGTTCTCTTCTTTCCTGCAAAGTATTTAACCTTGTAATATTGATTGGATATTGATTCGATTTACTTACACTTTCTCGTGCACAAAGTCCATTAGCATGGCCAATGGTTGGCAGTCGGCTGGGGAATGTTCGTAGCAGAATCCAGCCAATCCATTTGGATTGACTATGAGCTGGATGGTCTTATCCATCCATCGGTTGCCGCTATTCTGGCGCAGTCCACCGCCGTGGAGGAGTTGGTGGGCCTGCACAATGCTATCCTCTCCCTTGCCAATGGGCACGCATTCGTCCAGGCAGACCAGGAATAGGGATTGCTCAATGGTGTCCACTGAAGCGGCGTTGCCATGTGGACAGCGCAGTGCCGCATAGGCCTCCGCCCAGTTGCCTCTATTGTCGTGGGTGAGCAGGCCATAGGGTTCGCCTCTGCAAATGGGACAGTCGATGATCTCCTGCAGCGCATCCCTCAAACTGTGGACATGCAACAACTCTCCGCTTTCGCAATAGATGGGCAACTTGAAGTACTAAGAGGGAGATGTGGAAGGTTATTCAGATGGTGCAGATAAGCTGTATAATTACAATTAAAAAATAATTATAATTATTTAATGGTAAAATCACTTCAGTTTCGTTAACGTATTTAAATGTATATAACCACATAATAACCACATAATAATAATATTAATAATAATAATAATAATATTAATAATAATATTAATAATAATATTAATAATAATATTAATAATATTAATAATAATGAGTCAGTGATTAACAAGAAACCAGTTAAAAGATATAACAGCTTTTATTGAGGGAATTAATGATGTCCTAGTACTCACGTTGTTCTTGTGAACCACCACGACGTAGTCGGCATCACTGCATTGTTCGAGGGTATCGCAAAATCGGCCTGGCCTGCGAACTGTACCAAAGATTTTTGAGAACTGGCTGTTGTCCAGGGAATATTTGCCCATTTGCACCACGGGTATTTTATTTTGGTCCACCAGCTGCTTGAACTCGCAGGCACCGTAAATTGCTTTTGCAGTGAAGTTGAGAAAATCGGTGGGTTCCGGGAACTCTTGAATGGGAAAGGATAATCCCGGACTAGAGAAGACGGTCAGCGGTGCCTGGTAGCCCAAATAGGCGGCTCGTGTCCACCGCGGAGTCAGCCAGTTGGCGCAATGCTCGGCCTCTTCCTCGAGCAGCTTCTGGAGATCCTGGCCTTCGCAATCCGCGAACTTCCTGGTAAGTTTTTGTTCCTTTTTCAGTTCCTCTTCAGTGAGAAGAGGTTCGATACTGATGAGATAACTGGCGAGAGTTTGTTTCAGTGGTTGAACGGGAAACTTTTTCAGCTCGGGTTGCGGTTTCTCCTCGCTGGAGTCGCTATTTTTCTTACCTGCGTCACCATCTAGTGAAACGCATGGTTTTTTAACTTTGCAATCATCAAATGATATTTGGTCTTTGCTGATGTCGCTATTTAGCTTACTTTCGTCACCATCTAGTGAAACGCATGGTTTTTTAAGATGGCCATTATCATTTGATATTTTGTCTTTGGCCTCTTGAGGCTTTGGTGGAGGCGCTTGGGAAGGAGTCTTTGCCTTATCCTCTGGAGGACCCGAATCACCTTTGATTTCTGAAGGTGAAGGTGCCTTTGCAACTGACTCTTTGAGCTCTTTAGCAGGCGGTGGTGGCGAAGTAGGTGAAGGTGACTTTGCAGCTGGGGGAATTGGATCTTTGGAAGAAGTGTTTACCTTTTCCTTGAAAGGACCCTCCGGCTCTAGGATTTCTCTGGTTGACGCTGAAGGTGGAGACTGTGAAGCAGCAGGCTCACTAGATGTGGTCTTGATTTCTTTAGGGGACACTGAAGTCTTATCTTTTTGGGAATGTTTCTTAAAGGCACTTGACTCCTTTTTACCTGAAGCCTCACTGGAACAGCTAGAGCCACCCGAGGCTTTATTCCCTGAAGAACAGGAACTTTCTTCTGACGTACAGGGATTGATTTTGGGTTTGGAGCAGGGATCATCTTTTGGTTCGGGACAGGCCTCTTCGGCTGCTCCTCTAGGGCCATCCCTGCAGGGATTCCTTCCCATTGGAAAAGCCGAGAAGAGTGGCATGGAAAAACTAGATGATGGTGGTGGAGGTAGCTTTCCTTCTTTAGATTGTTGACTTGTGGCTTTAACTGGACGACTGGTCGGCTTATCCTGTCTTTGCTTCTGATTGATACTATCCTGTATGGATGACTTTTCCTGTGAGGGTTTTGCTTTTGGTGCTACCTGTTCCAATGACTTAGGCTTGGATTGCGAAGAGCTACTTGGATCAGAAACTGCCCCTTTAATCAGACATTTTTTAGCCTCTGGACAGGGGTCTTCTTTTTTTTCTTGTTTACATTGGGCCACCGCTTTTGGTTTTTCCTTTTCCTTGCATTTTTCTGGTTTCTTGATGAGTTCAGGTTTGGGTTCTTTTTTGGCTGCCTGGCATTTTTTAGGCTTTGGTGTTGGACACTTAGATTTCTCCGCACCTTTTTCTCCATCCTTACTTCCTTCACTTGGATCTGATTTTGGTATATTTTGAGGGATGTTTTTGACTTGTGGCTTTGCTTGAGCTATGGCATTTACAGAAGCATTACTTTTACCCGGAGCTTTTAACTCAACGGAAGCGGTTGTATTAATTTGAGAATTTGATACATCCGGAGATTTCCCACTAGGTGTAGAATCAGGAATTTTACCTTTAACCGAATGTTCCTCCTGAGGTGCAGTTCTTACAGGGTCAGATTGTGGACCCTTACACGAAACTGCAGAGTCACAGGAAGGTTTTTTGGGTTGCTTACATTGCGACATTCCGTCTTCACAGGGATTTCTTCCTTGCGGAAAAGCAGACTTTTGCGGCATGGAAAATCTGTCGGCGGATTCTTGAGGTTTAGCTGAGCCTTCTGCTTTTATATCTTGTTTTGATGGTGGAGCTTTGCTAGCCTCCTCCTTTGAAGGAGTTTTTAAATCTTTCTTTAAAACGCTGGTTGGTTCCTTTGTACTGTTTCCCTGTTGTGGTGGTATTGCTTTTCCCATTGAACACTTTGTAGATTGCTTTGTGTTATCTTCATGGCAGTTCTTGCAGTTTACTATCATAAGACCTGAAAGGGCTTGGGTTTTTGAAGAAGTATTTTCATAACATTTCTTACAGTTAAATATTTCCAGCGTTGCGAAATCAAGTTGAGGAAGGTTTGGTTGGCTTTCAGGTTTCATGGTAAGGGTATCACAATCGGGCTTTAATGTCTGGCTGTTGAAAGTGGAAGGTGCCTGATCCTTGGAATCTGAGTTATTCGATGTGCCTGCAGTGCTTGACGACGCTAATGCACGACAAATAATTTCCAATGTGGGGGTTTCTGATGCCTTCTTTCCAAACTGTCTTAAACGTGCTGAAATCGTATGTTGGCGGCTTTCGATGGCCTTCATTGCCATATCGTAGAGCTCCTTTGGAGGCAGATGTGACTTGCCCTTGCTGTACCATCGTACCCGGTACTTGCACTGCAAAGTTAAATTTTATTAGAATTTTCCAAGAGGTTAAGTTACCCATGGAACTTACGATACTTAGGAGGCTTTCGGCGCCTAGAAGGGCCCTCATGCTGACTAATTTGAACGGGATGTGGCCGAAAGAACTATATTTTGGAGGCTAATTTGTTATGAGGTATACATAGTTTTAAATTTAGACATATATCTGAAAGATGAGTATGCTGCATTTGGTTGCCTACATAGGCATTTTCTAATAACGATGAGTTAAAAATGTGTTCCGTTTAATGATTATGAAATTTCTAATTTTTTTTTTTGTAAGTATTATACAATTATATGAGAGTAAAATATCTGAAAGCCAAGTTTTTGAAAGCAAGAATTTGTTCGCTTATTGTTAAGTTTAAAAATAATCGAAATCACCTTTTTTCCCAACTTTAGAGTTTATTTTCTGAAGATCCAGACTTGATATTGCATAGGCCAGTTACATATTTAGCACTTTCAAATATATATATATTTTATTAATACTTAAAACCAACGTATGCTCATGCTAAATACATTCAATAGAAGTTGCTGAGAAACTCGTTAATAATAAATAACTACGAGCTTGTTAAAAAGTTTTCCGCCTAAAATGACTTTCTGTGTACTTCGGAAAATCAATTTGAGTTTCCCCTTAAATGTTTTCCATCACCCTCCAAACTGGAGCTCAACCTCGCCAAACAATCATTGCGCCATAGAACTGGGTGCTGTGGCACATGCACCGATGCATCGACTCCTTTCCGAGTTCCGCGAATTGGGAGCGGCAGACACAGAACCGCTGGGGGAAGGCCGTGGGGCAAATATTAACAGAATCAACACATCGGAGGCCTCGGCTTGATTGCTTTGCCAAGTGAAGTAGCCATATTATGATTATTGCGAACTCCGCAAGTGACGCAAACGAAGCTGAGCCCACAGAGCAAAAAATGCAATAATTGCATATTGACCCATTTTCTTAACAATGCATTGCGAAGGGCGCTCGAGGGGGGCGGGACAGGGGGGGCAGGGGGGCAGCGGGCACGGGAGTGCTGGCAGGTTACGCATGCGTGAACGTTGCCTTCATTTAATTAGGCGGCGACACCTGCGCGGAGACGGAGACGCAACCGAAGTCGCAGTCGCAGTCGCAGTCTCAATTGCAGACGTCGCCATCAATCAGCAAATCAGCGAACGAGGCAAACAAGGCGGCAAGTGAGGCGTGAAAACGGCCAACAAAACTGCAGAAAAAAGAAAAACACGCAGGAAGAGGTGATTTTGTTAAAAAAAAATCACTTTGAATACCCTTACTGAGTTACATGTATCTGCAAACTGTATTTTCCATTCTGTTTATTTCTATCTGGGCAAAAGTATTGCAAATAATTGTAATAATTTTTTAAGTCCATTGCTTTAAGTTAATTGATCTATACATTTGCCTAAATTATAACGTAATATTATTTAAATTTTAATTTAATTTTTTTATCTAAAATATTAAATAAAGTTAAATACTTTAGATAAAAAAATGTAATGAAACTTACTAATATGAATTTTAGGATATCTAAACTGTTTTAAAGACAAACTAGTTTTTTCAAAGATTTCGATTTTGTAAAAAGTGATAAAAAAATAAAATCTTTAAGGTAACAGAATACCATTTTCTATAAAATTTGAAACGACTATAGTTTATCTTAATTATCTTAAGAACATTTCCCTCGGTTAGGGTATCGAAACAGACCATTGCTGACATAAACTGAAAACAAAAACGCTGTGAAGAGTGCTGCACAAATGAAAATGAGAATGGAGATGGAGATGGGGATGGGGTCGGGGATGTGGAGAGGGTTTTAACGGGCGGAATCGGGGCCGAGGGGCGTGTTTAAGCTCATTTGACAATGAAGTGCTTTGAGCCTGACGACTGCGTTTGGGCGCGTTTTTATTATTTGCATGCCCCACTTTGCGTACAGCGGCGATAATTGACGCCACGGTGGCTGCAACTGCAGCACCACCGCACCACAGCACCACATCACCAGCACCACCGACAAAAACAACAACAACAAGACTGCCTGATGGCCCACAATTTGGACTGCACTTTAATAAAGTACCCATTGGAATGAAGCCACCCAATCCCGAGCCCAAAGTGCGTCGCGTGTTTGCGTGAGTGTTTTTCACTTGAGGCCATCATCAGCATCGCCTATGCATTTTGCCTGAATTGCATTTGTCAGGTGTTATGCAATAGAGGTTGCAGCCACGTCAATTGGCGAACCAGCGCTCTGCCGGCAATGATCCACATGAAGGTGGAGTAATTTGGGAGAGGGGAAATGATAAGGGGTTTTGTACGTGGGGAGTGACTGGGAATATCAGAGAAAGATGTGTGTAGATTTATTTGCGCTTAAATATAATTTTAAACAGAGTTACAATGTTTTTAGTGGTTTTTTAAGTTTGTATATGTATTTGTATGTCACTAAAAATAATAAGAATATACAAAGTAGTTAAATCAACAATTTATCACAGAGATCTTATTTTGTATTTTTGTGTTTAACTCCCTGATTAGGGAAATTCTACTTAATTTACATAGATAAAAAATAAATAAGGTAAATAAAGGCCAAAAAACAAAGGTTAGAATTAAAAAAATGAATCATAAAAATTGTGAAATGCTATTTTCACATTACTATCTTCTTAATGTAAACGAGTATAGGCTGATGCTTTAATACAAAAGTAATTAAATATAATCATAATGCCACAAATGAGCAAACCGAATACAGATCGTTGAGATTCTAATTTAAAAAAATTAAGAATGGTGAGAAGTAATTGCAAGAAGTAATACTTTAATAAAATATAAATTTCTTCTCTGGAACAGTTAACTAAATATATTTACCCTGCTTGAGCCCCAACCAAAGCTGCATTTTCCAGGGAGAGTATTTTAATCTGAGAAATAAGCTATTTCTATACTGATTCCCTTGATCCCGCTGGCATCATTACTAAATCCAAGGCTTTGTGCAAATTCCACTCTACAATGGCAAAGGAATGTTGATGTTGCATGGCATTTTTGTTGGTTTATTGTTGGCTTTTCTCTGGCACTGAGTAAATGCGAATTTCCTGTGCATTGTTTTGAACTGTTGGCCAAATGATCTGCCCCTCGCCACTAGTCGCAATTCCCCTGATGACCTCAGCAGTTCCAGAGTTGCAATTAGTAGAAAAGTAATTTTCGTTTGGTTTCCTTATTGTTGTTTTGCGGTTGCTTTTTCTCTCTTAAATCTCTGCTCAGCGATGCTGAAACAAAAAGTATTCTAACACCCTTTGTTCGACTAGTTTGTTGGAAACCCATGTACATACACATATAACTGAGACTTTGTTGGATGCATGATTAATGTCCGCATTGAGTCATGTCCGAAGAGCGTGGAACCATTTCAAAAGCCAAAACCAATTGAACTGAGCGCCGTAAACCGAAAATTCAGGGCGACAGAGCTTCGCTCAGGTTTCATTGATAACGCAGAACTCATCGAGAAGTGGACAGGGAAATGGTGGCACGTGTAAACATGAGACGTGGATTAGAACCCAGAACTTCGGAGCTCAACAAGCTAATTTTTATCGCCCTGTGACACACAGAAAAAACAGCCAAAGAGCAATCCCAACAAACCACGTAACCCGACGAGACCTGAAATCGACTGCAGTTTTATTTTTTATTCCGGTGAAAGCGCTCTCCTCCGAACAACTAACTCCCGGCACGTACTTCAGCATTGGGTTGGGTTGGGTGCCAGCTCCTCCTTGGTTCCACTTTTGTCTGTGCTGTTTGCACAATATTTGGCACAAGAACGCCATATCTTATATCAGTTGCAGAGATTCGGGATACCCGATAAGCGGCAATCGCTAAACAAAAGGCTGATAAGCAGCAGTCCAAATTCAATTTGCCCTCCATCGATAAGAAAAAGAAGGGGGGGATTGAGAAACAGAGGGGAGACTTATGGCCACGATTGCTCTGTCATTATGAGACTTAAGAGCTAAAACAGGGCATAAAGACAGCCCTGGGCTGATGGCCCCTCAATCCATCCAACGGACGCAGACAGAGAGTGACATAATAAATAAATTTAATCAGTTTGCTGAGTAGAAATCTTCCGTTGGCTCAGCTGAGTGGAAATCCGAATCCGAATCTTAGGCGGCTTTAATTTCTGTGCCGACTTATCATGATTTTTGTGGGCCTCAGACTTCTGGTTCACTTTGAGACAGCAGTTTGTATTCGACAGTCTCTTCAAAACTTGCCCTGCCTTCGACCTCTTCCATCTGCCGAAGAGTCGGCTTATCTCTCTTATGCCCAGCTTCTTGGGTGTTTTCAGACATTTCGTCGCATCGAGACAATATAGCTCGGCTGCGTATACTTAATCACGGCACAAAAGTCGGAGGGCAAATGTGTGGCGCACAAGAAGTATTTCTTTATGTATTTTTAGCTTCTCAAATTACTAAACAATTTGAAATCTTATCATGCGGTTGTGAAAGCAATTTTATTTTCATTCATCGATTCCCGTTTCCATTGACCCAATTCTAAATGAGACCCAATTGACGATTCTAGTCTTATGCGATAATTAACTTTTACTTTCCGCCGTTTCGTCTCGCGCTTTTATTTTGATTGCCTTCGGTTGTACGGCAAACAAGTCCATTAAACATTCACACAATTTATGCAAATGAAATGAAGCTGAAATTAATTCTAAAAAAATTCAAGCGAACAGCGCAGAATGTTTACGTTCGAGTCATGCGGCACTTGACTAATTAACATATTTATGCGATTTATGCACAGCGCCTCTTTATTTCAATATCGAACCGTAGAGTCTTACTCTTCGCCCTCGTCGGATAGATTTTCTTTCGATGTAATGTGCTAATTGGAACTCACCTGTCGAGGTCTTCAAGGACTGTTTGTAAATGAAATTTGTAGAATTCGCTTCCGCTTTGGGCTCTTTTCATCATTATTGTAATTCTTTGTGGGTTTTATAAGCGCGATGAAAACCAGTTGGCAACCTGTTGGCCAGAGTTCTTAGTATCTGTAAATTACTTTTTACAGTCTACTCGATGATGACGATAATGATGATTGGGTGGTGGAAAAAGACGCCTCTAATTCCATTCCAAAGCCATTTCATTTAGCTATTCGAGGAATTTTCATATCACGACAAGCTTTTGAAGTTCAGATTTTTTCAAGGCGCATTTAAAGCATTATTCCTTTTAAAGAAATGAATTTCATTATGC